GGAGGTCCGTTCATAACCTGAAACTGTTCTTAACCTGAGGTACCACTTTAGCTAATGGGGCCTCCCGCTGCCACCGTGCCACCAGAGCACGATTTCTGTTGTGCTTTCCTGGACCTTAGTTTTACCTTTCAATGGGAACTGAACTGAATCTGTCCCCATCTCTGTGGCCAGTTCTACTGCTGAGCACACCTTCCCTTCTATACTGTATCAATGATCCATAATGTATTACTCGAGCAGTGCAGGAAGGAATGCCACATTCCTGCACCCACACTGCTCCATTAAGAGGAATCGCGTGGGTTAGGCAACCCATGGATTTTCATGCCAAGGCAGCGTTCTCTCTCTGCATTGATCTTCGTTCTGACAAAGTACTATTTTGTATTTACATGAGCCTAGAAGCCAACTCCCAGGGCTAAGGGATCTTCACCGCCCCCCCCCCCAATATATATATATATATATATATATATATATATATATATATATATATATATATTTGAGGGCACTCCTGCACACGAGCAAGGTTGGGAAACACACACACACAAACACACATACACATACACAATTTTTGCTTGCAAAAATTTGTACCTGAGTCTAAACTGCGTACAAAAATGTGTTTCTGAGGAGAAATTCACACTGAAACGCTGGTGAATTGTCATAAATGGTTTTTTTTAATGATTATTGGAAATTGCTGCAGAAATGTGGAGAGCTGAATTTAAGACTGGAAAAATGAGAGAGGGAGAGCTCCTTCCATCCCTAGCCAGGACTACTGTGCAGAGAGTCACCCTGCACTCTCAACAGCCTTTAGTACATCGTTGGGATGGGAAATTCTCACCTGTAAACGTGCTCACCTGTAAACGTGCTGGTGGATCACAACTATGCATCACCCCTGTATTCGGCCAAATGCCTTTTATGTCCACAACAGCTGAATGTGGACTGGTTAGCAATCCTTGCCACCAAGATCCAATAGAGGAGAAATGAGGAACGGATGGCCTGCTTTCCTGTGGCCAAGATAAATTTGTGTGACTGGCTTCTGTCATAAATGCAAGAGTGTTCCTTTTTGAGGAAAGAAAACATGTTTTGTCCAAGCTAGAGCAAATGGTGATTCCATTTGTTGCTAGAAACGTTTTCATCTTCCCACCCTTTTCGTTTAACTTTTATGATCTGTTCCTCTGTTACGTAATGCCGCAAATAATATTTGGACATCATTGGCTAAAATAAGTAACATAATACTTACTGCAGTGCTAACTTACACAGAGACAAAGGAATAAAAGCAAGAAATGAAAAGATATGTATTTTTCCAAGAAACTTAAAGAGCTCTTCAGAGGCACATTTTAAAAACGCAACATTTATTAAATTTACCTATTACCAGTCAACTCATTTCCCCCTGTACTGAATGGAATTACTTCATTAATTTTCTCCTGCAGATGAACTGTAACATTCGGAAGATATAGAATTTAAAAAGCTTCTTCCATTCATTACACATGCGTGCACGGACGTGTGCTGTATTATAGTGAAAGCTTGAAATTCGGCAAATGTCACCATTGTAAATATTGTATTGGCAATCCCAGACCAATATTATAAACCTCCAAATATCAGAGATATTCTAGTGAGTTCAATGAATATAGGCAGACATAATTTTCAGCATTAACTTGTTAGGTCTGAAAAGTGGGCATCCAAAATATCCATCCGGATTTGTAATATGCATCAGGATTTGACCATGATATTCACCTACATTTTGAACACTTACTGGAACAAGAATACGAAATATCTTACAAAAATCATGCAAACCATTCCCCACTCTGCTTTTCCAATTTACAAACAGGTTTCTTTCTGTTTCTTTTTTGTGGGAAATCAATTACCTAAGTGTTTACCAACAAAAATATTAAAAGCAATTGATTAGCCCAATATTGTGAATATTGCAGATTTAAACAATGCAAAGCTGTCTTTCTTCCGTTAGAAAATTACAATGTAGTTTGCACAACGGAGGCAATGGTATAATTAGACCAGCCAAGCTACAATTTCTGATGCCAAAAGAAAATATAATGAAGTTGCTGGAGAGATTTGGGCTCCAATAGTAGTTGCTTTAAAAACAAAAACAAAAAAACAACAACAACCCTATATGCAATATTTCAATTAATTATACAATCCTTTCTGTTGAAAATTTAAAAACACATTCTCATATTACACACACACACACACACACACACGCTAAATGTTGACTTCATTGAGATTCTTTCTCAGATCTGGCATATTGATTTCTTGTTGTGAAGTGAGCTGTTCAAGCTCCATTTAAGATTTTCATCTTGCATGTAGCCCTGAGCACATCAGAGCACCATAAATTAGTTAAATTGCACATTTATCACAAATGTTATTTTAAGATACTGCGTAAATGTGATGGCTGGAAGATATACAGTATACAGTAACAAGCCACAACTTGGGTGGGGTTAGACCAGGGTCACCTTTATCCACTTTTGATTTAAAGCTTGTCCCCCTCCCCCGCACCTCACTCATCCCAATATCAATGTACCACTTTCTTCCCGAGTGTGTGCTATTTTCATTATGCTGTCTCTTGAGCTCCTGTGTTTGCAAAGCCCAGATGAAAATCCAATCTGTGAAGGAAAACAAGACACTGAAGGAAAGCCTCTCAACCCATGCTTCCATCTTTATGCTCTCACACGACCACTCTATGGTCTTTTTCATTAATGACCATCACTGAGAGCATCTTTGAGACCCCATAACTATCGCACCACTTCCTGTTTGTCTGAATTTACCCAGCGTTTGCATAGAGTTGACCATTTTTGTGTTTCGACTGGGAAATTATGCCCATGCATGAAAAACATTTGATGTTTTGCACTGGATCCAACTGTTGGTTCATCTGCCTCCTCAATTGCCATTCAGATTAGTAGAAGCTTTCAACAGTTTTCAGCCTTGATTTTGTCCATTCTTTTTAATTGGGGATATCAGGGAGTGAATGCCTAAGTTCCACTAAGCTCTACTCCTAAGCTGTGGCTGGAGACACCCTAGCAACATCTAAAATGTGTGTGTCCAGTGGGTGCAAAGATATATGGCAATTCATCGCTGCAAACAGAAGCATATATCAGTGGGTTCAGCCACTCATCAAATAATACATAACATGATATCCCACTAGCGTGGCCACTGGAATCAAAGATTCCACTTGCGGAAGACTTACAATCTGATCTATAAGTTAAGGAGCATAGACTGAAGTGAAATGATTGTGGCAGAAACAGAAGCTTTGTGAGCTCATGCATTGCTCCTGTATCGTGAACTGGCCCAGGAGCTGCAAAATGGGCAGGGCAGATGTCTTAAGCCACAAAAGCAGGCTTAACTGGAGCTGTTGTGCAGAGAAGTTGATGAACTGGGCTGGAGATATTGTGCTGGGCAGTGCTGTTTTTCTAGAAAACTCACCATGACTCACCCTTGTTCTCATATAATGTCTATTGTGCCCACCTGAGAGGTGCCGGAACTGAGTTGTGGCAAGTTGCGGCTGAAAAAAAGCCCTGGTGGTAGGTATGATGGACTTAGTGGCAAGCTGAATAGCTTTCACCCACCAACATCAGCCAACCCATAAGGCATCTGAAGGTTTGGTAGCTTTGTAATGGGGTTGTAAGTGACTGGGTGAACTTGCCACATCTGTCCTGCAAAGGATTCAATGTAGCTGTGCCAGGGTTAGCCAACCTGTATCCCGGGGGAGAGAGGACCATATTCTCTAAAGCATGGGTAGGCAAAGTAAGGCCCGGGGGCCGGATCTAGCCCAATTGCCTTCTAAATCTGGTCCGTGGATGGTCCAGGAATCAGCATGCTTTTATATGAGTAGAATGTGTCTTTTTATTTAAAATGCATCTCTGTGTTATTTGTAGGGCATAGGAATACGTTCATTTCCCCCCCAAAATATAGTCTGCCCCTCCACAAGGTCTGAGGGACAGTGGACCGGCCCTCTGCTGAAAAAGTTTGCTGACCCCTGCTCTAAAGAATGTCCCTCTGGGGTCCACATGCCTACGGTGACTAGCGCCAAGGGCAAAATGTGATGTGACTCATAACCTCACACAGTAGGCTACATTTGAGGCACAGATTACAGGTTTTCTAAATATTCTGACACAGCTGCCAGAACCTGGCATGGCAGCCCATTTCCCTTCCTCAGTTTGTTGGTTTTGCATCCCCTAAGTCCTGTCCGGGTCAAGTCCAAGATTCAGGGTTCCCTTGTAAAGAAGATGTAACGTTGCAGTGTACCAGTTTGCTTTGTCTGCCTGCCTTGCTAGCCCAACATCCCGTCTTCGCATATGGAAGCCGCAGTTCATGTATGCTAATGAAGATTAAAATGGCAGCTCGTGTGGTTTTGTTAGACTGATACGTGAGTGCCAGTAAAAGTTTTCCATTAGCATATAAATGTCTCCGTTTGTTTGTCTATGCGCTCATTCATTCTCCTATCTTTCCTTGCTATCAATTTTGTGCAAAAGTGGAAACATCCTGAAAATCATAAAAGTTGCCGTAATAAGTCTCGGGATTTTTCTCCATGTCAATTGAAAGGAGATGGAAGGAGCTCTCTAATCCGTGGAGGAACCTGCCAGGGCTCCTTGCTTCTCAGAACACTAATAATGCATTTAAGAGGCATTGCGTATCAGGATCTGATTTGGTTTGAATACACAGCTCTGCAAACGATCTATTTGCTTCCTCACAAAATGTTGGTTATAAACCCTCTTCTTTACAGTCAATCTTCCTGGAGGTTTAAAGGGGAGATATAACCTCCATTTCATTCTGCCCCCCCCCCCTTTTCAAGGCAGCCTTTGAATATTTGCTCCCTTGCTCTTTAAATGCAAAAGTTCACAAAAACTCCCGTGATTTATGTATAGATTTCCGTCTGCCAACACCTGGCAGATGAAGGAGCCTCCTTAAGCTTCAGTCATAAACAGCAAGTATACAATTTAATTTTAATGTGCTCGTTAGTCGTAGCACATATCAGATATAATTGTGAATGCAACACAAAATTATAGCAAAAAAGACAATTTTAATGCGGCTGTAGAAAAAAGAAAAGAAAAGAAAGAAGGTTATATGAAGAGTCATATAATGGTGCCACATTGTCAACAACAGAAGAGGGGGCACAGAGGGTGCGATTCTGGGTCTGTGCTGTTTACATGCCAATATTGTACACATAGATTCTCATATGGTGTCAGCTGTCAGTTACTTCTGCAAATTAACTGCCAAAAATGGAGACGAACAGAATCACTTAGTGTGCTGGTAACCACGGGTTACCTTTCATATGCCTAAAGATAAAACTGCAGTATGAAATCTTGGGAGAATAATTAGGGAGAACAAAACAGAAAGTTACCAACTGAAAAGAAGAGAGAGAGAGAGGGAGGGAGGGAGGGAGGGAGAGAGAGAGAGAGAGAGAGAGAGAGGTGGAAAGGCATTCTACGATAGGAAATAACACAACCAAGAGTGCATATAAATAAGTGGAAGAGGGTATATCACAGAATGCCTCGTAACTTTTTAGCAAAGTATTACAGTACAAACATTTTAAAGGCTTTTTTTATCAATGTTTATGAAATACAGTACAAGGTTTTTTCCCCCCTTCAATTCTCCCACCCCCAAATAGATTTAACCCTTTGAGCACTGAGTTGATTTTGAATTTTTTCGCTTTTGAATTTTTATTATTATTATTCATTTTACTAATAAATACCTTTAAAATTCATGTTGTGCAAAATTAGGTGTAATGCACGCCAGTCCGTGGCTTCGTTTATCAGAATGCTTCTTCTTTCTTTCTTTTAAAAAAGGTAGCAAACAACGAATAAATATGTATAATTTAAACATGAACCTCTATCAATATAGATGTACTGTATAGCAAAAGGAAAACAACCATACTTTGCTTCAAGAATAATGTTTTTCTCTTTTTTGAACACTTTATAAATGCTATCGAGTGTATCTTTTCATATAATTTACATTATTCAGATGTTAAAAGAAAACCTTTTGACCTAGAAAAGAAATATACAATATTATTTTATATATTTATATATATATTTATATATTTATAGGTACCACTTATACTCGGAGCATATTAGGTACAAAAAAATTCACCCTTGATAAAAACGTTGAAGAAGAAGAAATGGCATTGTCCACAATCACATTTTCCATATGAGGATTCTGAAATCTGTACAATATATATATATACATCGACGTTTCAATGTGAAAATAATATAGCCTGAAAGTTCACGATGGGTGCCACCCCTGCAGTTGTGGGGGATGCGATAGATAATTCCAACAAAAGGCATATCCAGAAGGAGCATCCTATGGTCCCCATTTGGCACGGTAGCCTACAACCAGATTCACAAGACACGTCCCAGAGAAAGAAAAGTAGCTCTCTTTGTGGATAACAGCAGGTAGTGTGGCAGGGCTCCACTGCTGCTCCGACTTCTGCCCAACTGAGTCTCAGCACCACACTGGGACAGAGAAGAGGAGGGCCTTGGTGGTGGTGGTCAGATCAGTGCAGTGTAAACGTGGCAGAGCGAATCCAGGGCTCTTGCAGCCTGTTTGCACCACACTGAACTTGCCACCCATTTGCCCCTTCTCCACTCCATCCCGATATGCTTTAGCAACTCAGTTGGGTGGAGGTGAGGTGAGCAGCATAGCAGTGCCACTCCATCAGTTGCTGCCTGTGGAAAGTTCAAGCAAACATCACACAAAGCCAAGCTGGGAGGACTGCTGGTCCACACCAGCCATAAGAACTAAGGGAAGAAAGGCCAGTCTGGGCAAAGACAGGCTGAACAATCTGGACTATGGATATTGGAAGTGCTGAAACAAGGTATCAGATCCCTGAAACAGAAGTGATTTTGGACATCACGGGAAATGCCACCACCTAGCTGCTCAAGCAACTTGCGCATAAAGCTGGTAGCAATTCCATGCAACAGCCAAAGGGAAACTCACACAGGAGAAGCTGGTCTGCATTCTCAGGGTGAATCCTCTCCTTCAAACATTAACCAGCCAGATGCACAACCAACTAATGGACTGTGGCACGTCTTGTTCAAGCCCATTCTTAGAGTTGCTTGAATGTCTCCTCAGCTGTAAGGGGGTTGTTGTTGTTGTAAAAAAGGAAAACATATACATACTTCATTAATATAATAATAATAATTATTATTTTTAAAAAACCAAATTAATCCAAAAGTGCTTCAAAGTACTCAGAGGGCTAAAAATTTACAGGGTGAGAACGACCAGCACACTTGAATCACCATGGAAAAAGTGCACTAGAATTAGTTAATAAATGCTTAATTAAACTGTCTTGTTAATGCATGCAGCTCAAGGCATCGGAGGGATGCACAGCAACTAAACCCCAATTTACACAAAGTTCCAAACACTTACGACTGCGTTTTAACCTTCATATTTTACCAGTAACAACAGCTGATTATGCACCTCTATTAAACACTGTACAGTTATACAACGAAAGAGAGAAGTCGTTCAGGCCAAGAGTGACACCCCAGAGTTAAAGTAAAAATTATGTGCCAAGAACAGAAACCAAAAGGGGAGCTTTAAGGCGGGTTTTTTTGTTTGTTTGTTTTGGACAGTTTTCCTCAAAGCCAAGTACAATTGTCGTTGTAGTTTGGGTGTGTGTCAAAAGCAAATGCTACTGCTTTTCCAATTCACACACATAGAGAAGATGGTCCTCTGGAGACTTCCCGTGTGTTTTACTGAGATGGAGCTTAACGGCATGCTTGCTTGCAAAAGTCCTGTTGCAAAGTTTACACTGGTAGGAGGTCCCTATTTCTTCCTCCGGCGAAGGTGCCAACAGTTTCTCAGAGGGCGGCTTTGTTTGTGCTATCTGATTGTTAATCTGTTCACTGGACAGTTTGGACAAGTCTCGTAGCCTAAAACCTAGATGTGATTCAAGGTGACTGATGTACGTCGAAGGAGTTCTGATTTGGGAAGCACAGTCATTGCAAAAGAACACCGGGTGCCCAGTGTCCAAATTTTTAAGGAACTTTGTCCCCCCTGTCCTTCGGAGCTGGTATTTCACATTGGCCAGCCAGTGGCTAATAGTGGTCATTGAGAGCCCCGTAAACCTGGAAATGTGCATCCTCTCCTGTGGGCTCAAGTCCGACATGATGTATTTCCCCTCCGATGTCTGCCGCAAGCTGGCTGCAAACTGTGCCTGAAGAATGAGCAAATGCTGAGGGTTCCAGTTGGACTGGCGCCCCTTCCTCTTCTGAGCCGGGGTCGCCTCTTCCGGTTCCTCTATTGTAGTCCCGTCAATGTCAGATTTCTCAGAGATGCTGGAAGGCGTGGAGGATTTTGATGTGTGACTTTCTGTCAGGTTCTTCAGCATATCAGAGATATCTGACAAGGCATTCTCGCGTAGCGGCGAGTTTGACATGAATGACACAACTGCAGATGTCTTTGCCGTTGTCACTGTAGATGAAGAGGATGCTGAAGACACCGATGTGGATGACAAAAGCGCTGAACCCAAAGAGCAGCTTTTGTCACTCTTCCCTTTCGTCAAATCTATGGGCTGGTCATTGTTGATGTGATAAAAATAACGGTCTAAGTGGTCTGGCTTCTTGGACTGCAGAGGTGGGGTGGCCACAGCTGCCTTTTCTGCTAGGCTGTTGCTCATTTTAAAAAGCATGCTCATTGGGTCAAGGGCAGGCAAGGAAGGCTTAGCTGCCTTTCCAAGATGAATATTCATGACAGACTGCAATGCACTTAATGGGTTTACAAATGGCTGCTCTGGAGGGTGGTCGGTGATAATAGCTGTGCTGCTGCTCAAGGAACTTGTGATGGTCTTGACAAGCTCCTTACCATTTTCCACTGGTTCACCTGTTGGGCTGTCCTTGCAGCTCTCCCTCTGCGAAACAGGGCTATTCTGTTGGCTTTTGAACCCAATGTCATTGGAAGTGTCCATCTTGAGGGACTCGCTGACTTCACTGCTACATGGAGAAGGTGTCGCTCTCTTCATCGGAGATAGCTTCCCTGCTTCGGGCTCCTTCATTTTCTCTTCAACTTTGGCCACTTTCTCGGTTACTTTCTTGACCAGCTCTTCCATGGCATGGAAGTTGGTTTTTGGCACAGGGGACGTCTGACTGCTGGGCGGGGACACCAAAGGTTGGCTTTTCGTTGGTGATACTATTTCAGCATTTCCAAACATCGGCTTCAAAGGAGTACTTTTCCCCGACGAACCTAGGGACAACTTCATCATGTTGGGCAGCTGGTAGGCAGCATGAATACTGGGATAGCCACCCCAACTGGGTGTGCCATTCTGGGCTTTGTTAATAGCTGACGTGACCGTGTTTTCTAAAGATTTCAAGATATCCAGTCCCCCTTTGGGACTCTCTTCCAAGTCATTTTCAGTCAAATAATGATATTTTGAGGAGATATCATATTTTTCCTCATCCTCACTTGATTTTTCCTTGTCTTTCATCTTCTCATCAGCAATGATTCTGTCCTTATCAACTTCTTTCTTTACCTCCATGTTTAATTTTGGGGAGATGCTAGAGGGTGTATTGGAAGGAGACGTGAAGGTGGTGGCTGCCAGGGGCACAGACTGTACTTTCTCATCAAGCAAAGCCGTGATCGTTGGCGTGACAGGGGCCTCTATGATAGGCTTCCCTTTCTTCATGGCAGAATTGGTGACCTTAATGAAATGTCCTGTCACCATCATGTGGGCAGTGAGCTCCTGCAAAGTATCATGGGAACTCCCACATTCCATGCACTTAAGAATTTGAGATTTCCTTGCTTCAAAATGCCAAGCATAGCTGGCACCGTTCTGGTGTCCATAGCGATTATTCGGTGTGATGTAAGGATTGGAATTCTTTTGAAGTGCATCACTGGCATCAGAGATTGTTGCTTTTGGTGTCCCACCAGTGGAGTCTGGAGAACTTGGAAGTTCTAGCTCCAATGATGTTTTCTTTCTTGGGGCTGGGATTATTTTTGCTGCTACAGGGGTTACGGGTTCCTTCAGAGGCACTTTTTGGTAATGTTTTGTTTTGATCATGTGCACACTCAAGTCTTGAAGCGACTCAAATGAATGGCCACAGTACATACACTTTAAGACTTTCTGAGCATCTTCTTTCCCTTCCATTTCGAGCAAAGAGCGCTTACGAGGCTTGGACCACCTTTTGGGGTTATTGTTATCTGTTTCGTGGTTGTCATCCCGGTAATGTCCTGTTTCATTCATGTGCACCGTTAATTCCACTAATGTGTCATAGGCAGCGCTGCAGTCTTTACAGCGGAATTTACTGGCCCAGTAAATATGGAGCCATAAAGTTTGCTGCTTTGTCTATACAACTGGACTGTGCTAAAAAGGCTAGGCTCAGGAAGGATCCTGTTCTGCGAGACCTGCTGCAGTGTCTTTGCCATGGCTGTCTGATGCCAGTCAAAGCTGCCGCTCCCACAGCTGCTGCTGCTACTGCTACTGCTGCTGCTACTCCCATTGTTCTTCTCAGAGGTTGGCTGGTGGAGATTCAAGTTCAGGTTGGACCAGTAGGAGTTGGAGAGGAAGTTATTGTAGACAGCTTTCATCTGCTCCAAGCTGTCCGAGACAACAGACTCCTCCAGCTGGATGGAGACCTCTTTGCTCTCCTCCTCATTCTTGATGGAGCTGCTTTCAAAGTCGGCCATGCGATCACTGGTTTCGCTGATGTGCGACTCACTGTCCATCTCATGGCTGGAAAACTCGGCAGCTGGAGAGTTCTGGTAGCTCTGGCAGTTCTTAGTGAAGTCCTTCTCCGGACAGGCGTATTTGGCAGAAGGTTCTCCATCGACCACGTTGTCGTCGGGTTCTAGGTCATCTTCTGCCATTGCTGCTGCCTTCAGTTCATCCGAAACGTAAGCTAGCAGGGTAAAAAAGAGGAAGGAAAAGCAGAGAGAGAAAATTGGCGTTAGCAATTGCTGGTCTCATGTTATATATCAGCAGCTGGCATATTTCACTCAAAGAACCACATTTATTTATTAAAATTAAACAGTTAAAATTTAGTGTTTCTTCCAAGCAAGAGGAAAGGGGGGGGGAGAGAAATCTGCTCTTCGAACATAATTTGCCACCTTATTCTTCTCAAGGGGCAACAGCTTGAAATTAAAACTAAATTTGAAATTAATGAAGCACATTCTGGAGGTGGCATTCATTTCTAAAGTAATAAATTACTTGTATCAACCTCAGAGACAGCAGTTCCTGTCTGTCAATTAATATGTCTTATGCTTCTCCTACCCCTAATGTATTTCTTAACAGACAGATTCACAATTTAAATTAAGCCAGATTTTTTTTTTACTCATTACATTTTTGAGAACCAATCTTTAATAAAACATAAAAACATCAATAAAGGAAAAAATCTCACAAACAACAACAACAAAAGTGCCTCAATTACAAGAAAATTAAAAGCTCATATTTGCATGTTGGGGCTGCTTAGAAAGGCAGGGATTACATTGAGAGTGAGGGCTTAACCGCAGAAGGCGTTTTGAGCCCAGAAGCAGCGACACGTTCAAACCTTTTTACATCTTCATTTTGCTCTGGGTTTTAGAGTTCTGAATTTCCTGATACTTTTTCCGGAACGTAAACCATGAACTATTAGAGCCCTCCATGCTCCCAGTTTCTTAATTTCTAAATTTTGTACAAATTGCCACACCTTATTTTTGTGATTGCATTTTTATTATTGTAAGCTGTTTTTATCCCCCACCCCCCAAATAAATAAATAATGCTGTTGATTTGTTAGCAAAACAAAAAGTGCAAAGAAAATTTATGGTTCACATTTTTGATTCTTTGTTTTCTTTCTTTTTAGGTTATGTTTGTTGGTTTTTTGGTTTAAACCGTTTTTCATATTGTGTTTCAATGCCTTGGGACCTTAGGGTGAAGGACAAGTAATAAATTATGATTATGATTGTTAATTATAGTAAGTATTAGGTACTTACTAGGTAAGTAATAGGAAGTACAAGAGTAGTCAACAATCAGTAATAAGGGCTTCCTGGAAGACTTGAAGTCCTGAGTTTCTTTTTTCTTCTTAAATAGGAATTAATTTTGGATAGGGAAAAGCTAGGAGGGGACATCAGGTGAATCAATGTGGAAATATTACCCTAACAGAGATCCAACATCTCTATTACTTGTGCTACAAATGTCCAATTACTATTGCAAAGACTTCTTGACATGAAGCAAGAACAAGGAGAATGACAGCAGAAGCGAGATTGGGAAAATTTGTATGCTGCCCTTATTCTTCCAGAATAAATATATACAAGATCTTCCAGTGGACATTACAAATGTCAAAGTGTTTGCTCTTTAGACTACTTTGTCAATATTTACTCGCCATAAGCTACAGGGGTACCCAACAGAGATCCTGCACTGCACTGTGTTTTCTTTCAAGGATGAGAAATGGTGGTCTGAGGTTGCACTAAGGTTTTCGGTGACTCAGGTGGCTATTTAAATTCATTAAATTTCCTTCTCTCATTCTACGAGAACTTGGGGTCATCTAAAGAAGCTGAATGCTGGGAGATTCAGGACAGGCAAAAGAAAGTACCATATTTTTTGCTCTATAAGACTCACTTTTTCCCTCCTAAAAAGTAAGGGAAATGTGTGTCCGTCTTATGGAGTGAATGCAGGCTGCGCAGCTATCCCAGAAGCCAGAACAGCAAGAGGGACCACTGCTTTCGCTGTGCAGCGATCCCTCTTGCTGTTCTGGCTTCTGAGATTCAGAATATATTTTTTTTCTTGTTTTCCTCCTCCCAAAACTAGGTGTGTCTTGTGGTCTGGTGCGTCTCATAGAGCGAAAAATACGGTACTTTCTCACACAGCGCAGAGTTGAAACTATGGAACTTGCCCAGTGGTGGCCACCAATTTGGATGGCTTTAAAAGAGGATTAGAAAAATTCATGGAGGTGATGGTTATCAATGGCCACTAGCCATGACTGCAATGTTCTACCTCTGCTGTTGGAAGCAGAATGTCTCTGAATCCCAGTTGCAGGAAAAGGGCTGCTGTGCTTGGGCTTCCATTTGTGGGCATCTGGTTGGACACTGTGAGAACAGGAAGCAGTGCTAAATGAGCCACTGGCCTGATCCAGGAGGCTCTTCTTATGTCCTTATGTCCTGAAATCTCACCAGCATGGGTGTGGTGGCTGGGACTGTTGGGAGTTGGAGTCCTACACCTTGGAAAGGCACCAGGTTGGGCAAGGCTGCCATAAGAGATCCCCAGTGGAACAGACCAACTGTCCAACTAGTTCAGCATCTTGTTCCAAGGTGATCAAAGAGGTACTTCTAGAAATCCCTAGAGAAGGGTTTGAAGGTAACACCTCTCCACTGTTGTTGCCTATCCAAAACAGTTGCTACTCAGCCTCTTGATAGATCTGTTCCTCATTAATTTAGCCAGCTAGGACTGCCTCCCTGCCCTGCTGTTCTTCACAACCATACAACACAACCAGGGAAAAGATATGCATTCAGATATCTTCAACTATTTTCAGACTCAAATCATAGCAAATGAGATGTGCTACTCTACATATGTGCAGGTAGTAGAATCAACGGATTCTGTAATTAGGAATCTACATGGAATCCCCATGTTGGAATTTGCAAGAGTATCAGAAGTGTATTGAATACTGTGTATGTATGTGTGTGCTTGGTTGGGTGGGTGGGTGGGTGGGTGGGTTGCAGGGAGACTTACCCCAAAGACTGATGGATTGATAGCAATGCTTATTACTCTGTTCACCAGAAACATTGGGAACATTAATTTTGAATGGGTTGATTTGATTCATGCTTTACAACTGCTGCTAACTCCTGGTTCTTTTGTATGAAGTCTTTCTGAAGCCAGCAGAAATGTGAGTAAGTCACATTAACTGCTTCACTGCCCTGAACCCCACCACTCTAAGAATCCTTCATAGCCTTCTTCAGAAATGGTATACAAACACCTAGTCCCACACTTGATGTTGCTGTCCCCATCTCCCCCTGCTTATCCCATCACCCCCTCAGTCTTCCACACGTTGAGCAGAAGTTCTGTATTCAGCTAAACATGTGTGGTCTCCTCCTTGGGAACTTCTACCCAACACATGGAGGTCGGTGTGTGTGTGTGGAGTTGGCAGGGAGTGGCATGCAACATATCCCTCCTTCTCGTTGTCTCAAAAGTCTCTTCACCAAGCACTCCTTTGTCCCCTTACAATATGGCTTCCATCCTTCACACTCCCTAAATCTGCCAACATTATATTGACTGGTATCATTGTTGTTGTTATTGTTAATTACCCACCCTTCACTCTATGGTCTCAGGGTGGGCAACAACAACAACAACAACAACAACAACATACTACCCTTCTATACAAGTCCACCTCTCCAAGTGAGCGTCTTGATATTTATGGCAGGATTCAGGCACAAAAACAGTTTATTTTCATGTCCAGATCTGAGTCAGTTCTCAAACCATGGTTTGTTGGGGGCTAAAAAGTCAGTCTGAAGCCACCTTTCAAATCACAGTTTGCACTAATTGCGATTTGAAATATCATTGACAAACCACACTACTATGATTGGGGCAGCACCCTCAGACTCAATTCATATTTTTCCATCAGGCTGCTTCGGCAGGAAAGATGAGAAGGCCTTGTTCCAACAGGTCTGCCAAAAGACCAGCTCCATCAAGTAACTCCTACCCTAAATTGTTTCTATGCCAGTTGGTCATTATAAAAGCTACTATTTAAGAACTGGTACTTGAGTTTGCTTTCCCCCCCCCCTTCCCTCCTTGTCTCCTTTCCCTTGTGTGTCATTTTTACATATATTGTAAGCTTGCCTGCTTGTTTTACCTGATTGTACATAAACCACTGGGAGCCATTTTGGCTGAAGAGCAGGGTACAAACACTTTAACTAATAATGGCAGCAAAAACACCATCACAACTGCCATTAGACTCATCCAGCAAAGCCACCTGTCAGAACTGAAGGGAGCTGTAGTCCAACAACATCTGGAGGGCTCCAGGCTGAGTGAGGGCCAGTATTCATTTCCAAGAGTCTGCATCATGGAGAGTTGGGTGAACTTGAGAAGCTCTTTTCACAAATCCATATGCAAATCCATATTTGGATATGTGTTTAAATGCATATTTTATCACAAAATATTTTAATGTGTATTATATCTCAATGTATGCATTTCTAAATATATTTTAGCCTAAGATACCCTACAGTTTTACATATTCCAGTACATTTTCAGTCGATAATGGCACTGCGAAATTCGGAGAAGTGTTAGAGTTTTAGATTGTAATCTGCATACTAGTCCAGGAACTGAAAATTCTCCTCCATCCTCCTCTCCAGGTCAAGTTGCTTCTCCTTTTCAAACATTGCAAAAATAAGGCCCTTCCTCTTCCCTGTCCTCTTGGCAATACATTAAAATAGAATAGAATAGAATAGAATAGAATAGAATAGAATAGAATAGAATAGAATAGGTTAATGCTCTGTATCTCCTATTTCTTCTCTCTTCCACTGCCCCATCTTAATTCTCACCTCTCTCCAGACCTTTCACTCTGATGACAAAAATCACTCCTCTCATAGCCCAGGGCATGCCCATCATTAAAATTGCCTTCCTGCCTGCTCCCAGAACTGCCACAAATTTCTCACCCTTCCCTTTGGAGCCCTCTGTGGCCTTGTTCCCTGCCACCTTCAGACCTAGAACTCATATTACCTTTTCTTCCAGCTGCACAACAGTCAACCATCTAAAGGTCTCTCTTTTCCTTTCTAATGGAAGCTACAACAGAATTGTGAGGCTGCACCAACTCTTCCTTTCAAACTTCTCCTCAGAGCTCACTTTTGGCACAAACCCTTAACCCCAATGCCCTCACTGCATCTATGCTCCATCCCCTGAAAAGGAGATGACTACCTGAAGCACAGAGATCACACA